TCTTTTAGTTCTTTTATCTCCCTGCTCAAATAAAGGGATAGTTAGAAATTCTCCCCAAATACAAAATAATCTGCTAAATAAACATATCCTAATGTGAAGTGTATAGGGATCATAGGAAAACTTCATTTTATTTGTTGTTCTAGGACTCATAGCTTTATGACTAAGTTATCATAATTTTGATATGGTCAACAGCAAAAACATCGCTTGACAGAAGACACAATCATTACTTTAGATACATTAATCACACTGGGATTGCAAAGCAAAGCAAAGTGACAAACATAGATAATTGTTCGTGGGCCCACAGCTTATTAAACAAGGTGAGGAACATATGTATTTAGTTTAGTTGCTGAGCTGAAAGCCAAATCTGAGCTGATTCCAGAAGAAAATAAAATAAACCAGTTTAATAGTAGGGTTTCTCCCTTTATATCATTATGATCTGGACATCAACTCCAGTAATCTCCAGTTTTTACTGGGAAGTAGTTCTAGAATGCATATTTCCTTTTGCAGTGCATGGACGAGTCATGCGGAGACCTTCTGAATTTCAGTATTCTAACAGCAGGTATCATAGGATGTTTGAGACCTGACAGTTTCTTGCCGGGAATGTTATGATTCATGTCATTTTATTTTGATCCTGGTTAAATTAAAGGATTATTATTACTTTGTCAGATTTCTTACTTGTGATATGATGTTGTAGTATTTTTACTAGAAGTGACCGTGGTGGTAGAATTACAGGTTTTGCATCACTTTTCAAATTCATGGTGCAAATCACAGCTCTGAAGCAAAACTTGCAATTCTAGTACTATATTATAAGCAATCTATGTGTCTGTCCAACACCCAAGTGCTATATAGGTTCAGTCACATTAAACATCAGAACAAAGTCCATACATAGAGCTTTTCCTATATGTCCACTTTTTTGGTGTGGGAGGATCTTCATCACTCTTGCTGTTTATCTACACATGGATTTTTTTCCTTTCAATTAAACTAATTTTTCCTGTGATCTTGGATGCTAGTAGAAGATTATTAGCTTTTGATCCAGTTGAAGTGATATTGTTTTCCTGAAGTATGTATATAGTTTCCAGAGATAGAATTTCTCACTATAATAAATAGTAATATATATACATACATATGTATAATTATATAGAGTATATATCTGTAATATAAAATTATGTCTCTGCTACTTCCAGTAAGTTAGGCAGCAAGTATTTTTTTAATATCTGCTCTATGCTTGGTTCTAGTCTAGGTATTATTCTGTTCTGTATGTGACATTGTCCTTCCTACATTCAAGAATTCCAAGTGGAAACATTAAGTATATAAAAATTATTTATAAAATGACTCCTTTATAAAGGTTTGTGCGAGGTATACAGAATACTAATCTTATTTTTTCTAGGTACTTTTAGTTCTCTTATGTGATGCCAAATATACTTCCTTTGTCATCTCATTGATTCTCACAAAAGTAGGTAGATTGGCCATCAGCTGGGGTGCCACGACAAATGACATGGCTGCCCAATTCCACAGAGTTAGGTCAATGTTTGGATAAAGACCATGCTTTTTGAATGTCAAAGCTGCCATCTTATCCAGATTACCACTTAACATTAAACATTTTCTTTATAATGGACATTCCTAGCTCAAAAATCAAGTGTCTTCTATCACTACAAATCATGCGCATATCTGATTGCATTGATAGTATGGTTTCTGTGTGACATACTACTAGCTATATCTGGAAGCTTGGGTTAGGACTAGACAAAACCAGTGAAGTCATATACCTTGAAAGACTTTGGAAATAAGTACTTTTTACAAAATAAAACCCAGTATTTTTAAAAATATTTACTGTTAGGTCAACAATTCTGAAGGGTCTGAGATTTTACCCTTGGCAAGCTAACATGTTAACTTGTCAAAGATTCCTAGATTCTGACAGAAGGCACACAGTTCCTGGCTCAGACACAGAAGATTTATTACTCCTGTTGTAGCAAGCAGCATGAGTTTCATGTTAATATTCATTCTTTTTGTCCCACCCAGCTCCAAATCATAGGGGGGCAATGCATAGGAAGGTCTAGGTGAATGCTGCACTCCCAGCGAACTTGTATTCACACTGAAGAACCCCACCATGAGTCTGCCAGAAAACTGGTCCAGCCATTGTCCTGAAGGGAGACATTATCTTTACTATTTTGGCCAGGAAAAAAACCTTCTCTCTGCTGTAGAAGATGGCATTATCTGTCTTCCAAGGCTGTTAGCTATATAAGCATCCTTGAAAAAATGTCCAGAATCAAAGATGAAACAAGATACATGGAAATGCCATGGAGAAATGCCTTTTGCCCCACAAATTATAGGGTCTAGAAGACTTGCAGACACGCTGTAAAATGTCAAAGATATTTGTGTATGTTTCATTATATCTTTTCTTATAGGTATAAGCAATGTCTAACTGCTGTTACAGATGATAATGATGTATACTAATGACGTTGATGTAGGTCAACATCAGCAGTAACTATAAAAAGATGAACTTATATGAGGAAGTTGGCTCTATGGGTTTTCAAACAATTGTTCCTAACTATTACGGAAAATGATAATGAAACTTTGGACATTGTCATCACATATTTTTTTTTTTTTAAAACGCCACCTTTGTATTAGCAAATATCATTTAAAAATAACTAGCAATCCACACATATTTCAAACATGTTTGAAAGCATATTTAGAGCAAGTTTGAAAATTTTGCCTACTTGCATTCTTTCCATGAAGATCTTAATATCTCTTGAAAAACATTTAGACTCTATGCAGACTTAAAGATCATATATCCAAATTGGTTCTGTTAAAGAATGTTTAGCTTTAAATATTACTTTTGTGGGGGGTAGTTTGTCTTTCCCCAGACATCTTACTCTTTTTTAATATAGTTGTAATTGTTCAGAAGCAGCTATAATTTCACTCTTGTATATGGATATTTTTGATTGTTTCTTAAAACTGTCAGTTGGGTTTATTTGATCAAATGACCATGTGAAAGCTAGGCTTTTTAAATTGGTGGGATTGTAATCAGAAGAAGAAAAAAAGATGATTTCTTGAGTTTTTAAATCCTCAAGCTGTGAAATAATTGAAATGATGTAGAATTTCTTTGAAGTCAACTATAGAGAGACTAAAGAAAATCTTAGAGCTACATTTAAGTTAGGAGGAAGCAGGTTACATCTCAAATTAAGTTTCTTGTCTGACAGTTTTTTGTTCGTTTGTTTTGTTTTTGTTTTTGTTTTTTTTGACTGAGAGATTGTTGACTATTAGGCTTAATCATTGTAGAAAGAAATTGATCAAAATGCCCTTCATTAAATGCCTAGTTTTAAGCTGGGCTTATATGCATTCAAGGAAGAAATTACACCAACCTCAAAAATCTTAGGGTCAGTTGAGCAAACTTGAGATTCAAAATAAGGAAAGTTTGTGCATCATCAGTGATCAGTTCTAGAGTTTTTGAGAGGAAAACTCTATCCTAGAAAGGCCTAGACATATCCCAATGTATTTCCACTTTGCTTTGGTTGCTATTCTCTGTCCCAGTTGCTGCTATAAAAAGACATCCTCGGGTTGAATAGAAGACCCTGTGATCTCCCCTTTTTGTTTTTATATTGTTGTCATTTCCTATTTGGGACTTTTTCTATATAGATAACAATTTATAATTATAACTATTATTATTATTTACTTTCAAGTGACCTTACAGAAATTATATCATTAGAGAAATTGCTGCTTCAGCATTTTGTTATTGATAAGGATTAGAGTTAAAAAAGGAGACAAAATTATTGTCAGTCCCTACACATACAGTGTCTGCTTGTCTGAGAGGGGATAGAAGAGACACAACCTTACCTGTGTTAAAATTGAATATTTCATTTACCATACTGATTAGTTTTTACCCTTAAAACCTTAAGAGTCTGGGTTTAATGGTCAGTTTTTCTTTTCCAGGTGCAGGAACCCTCATGCCTTGTACCTCACTGCATAACTCTCTGAAGCAAATTCTCCACAGTTATAGCTCAAGAGTCACATTCCCTCTTCCATTCATTGGAGCAGGGGAAATACAAGGATTAAAGGAGTGCTAACACAAAGCTTTCTAGAAATGACTAATATGTTTTCTCGACATTCCTTATTATCGGCATGTATATAGGTTTTGTGACAGTTCATCAATCCAAATGAGTTATCCTAAATAAAGTTTAAAGCCATCGGGACCGGGATAGAAAGATTGACTTTTGTTTCTCTTAACAATAAACCAGTTTTTGATAATTCAACATATTTTTCAGTCCATGAAACACCAGTCATTTATTTTAAACATTGCCACATATTCCTATTTTTGTAGACTCCTATGAAATTCACTCAAACAGAACAAAAATCATCATAATAATAAGACTTTCAATTTGTGAATAAATCCCAATCAACAGAATCCCTAACATTGGATTAGAGAATATGGGGTATATAGTGAAAATACTGCATAGAATCTGGATGTACAATGAGACCATTTTTTATTAACTTAATATTTCCAAGAATACCCAAACAGAGCTGAATTTTTCTCCCACTTGCACACCAGCAAATTAATATAATCATCATGGCTGTACTTTTGCCTTAATTTTTTCATTTTGATTTATTTGGGGTGTACTTACCTATAAAATGGAGGTAGTAAATTTTTTACTGTGCCTACCCTATAATGGGTCATGGTGATAATTGAGATTATGAATGAAAGCCCTTTAAAAAGTAAAACTACACACTTACCATGAATATAGGTGGTGTTATGTTATTATTATTGGTATTACTAATTATTTTTGTGACAGTTGTTTAAATAAATATTTAAAATTCTTAGTAAAATAATTATTGTCAGAAAAACTTAAACTTTTCTCCTTTCCAGAGATTGTTGTCAATGCAATGTTAAGATGTTTTCATATTTTTGACAAAATGAAATGAATAAGTATTTTTGTTATTAAAACAAAGCTGACATCACAACAAACTGAATATGGCTAGTATTGTTCATATGTCTTTTTTAACCCTAGTTAATCCTGGAGAAATATTGCCTCACATATGCAAAGCTGGAGAATTCCGCTGTAAAAACAGACACTGTATCCAAGCTCGCTGGAAATGTGATGGTGATGATGACTGTCTAGATGGAAGTGATGAAGATTCAGTAAACTGCTGTACGTTCTCCTTCAAATGATACTACATTTTCCGAGTCTTTTTTCTTTTTTAAGATTTTATTTATTTGAGAGAGAGAATGCACCTGCAAGAGCAGAGGGTAGGGGCAGAGGGAGAGGGACAAGCAGGCTCCCTGCTGAGCAGGGATTTCCCTGCTAGGGACTCTGATCCTAGGACCTTGAGATCTTGACTTGAACCAAAGCTTAACCCACTGAGCCACCCGGCACCCTCCTTGAGTATTTCAGCTTGTGAACTGACAAAGCAGTTTGTGAAATCTAAAAATATCTGATAAAAATTGAACTTACTTTTTTTTTCCCCCTCAGTCATCCTTTTACATAGAGTAGACTAGATTATCTCCTAGCATGGTTTTAAAGCACTGCTTTTCTCATGCTTTTACATCTTTAATATTATCATTTTGGTTGCTCCAGAAGTCCTCCCCTTCTCTATTCTGTGCTGTCAGTTCCGCCACACCATTGTCACAAGGTTGCTATAGGAGACCCTTTGGATTTCTGAATTTAAAGATGTGGAAGATCAATTGCAACTCCCTCAGGTCAGAATTAACTCACACAGAAGGTCAGGATCCACTCCATTGCTCCTTGGCAACAGAGCCTTGAAGTAGATCCAAGGAAACAAACATGGTTTTGGATCTAGTTATTACCTAACTTCTCTGGCTCAGTACATGGTAGGAGACACATATGAGGTACTCAGATAGAAATTAAAGGTTTGATTTTCTCGCCATTTGGCTTCTATTTACCTGTTTTTCATTTTCCACAATAGGAATAGTTTCATGTTTCTGGTTGGGATAAGGAATTGTCCCACATATTTGAAGGAAGATACTTTGAGAAACACATTAAATAACAATTTGAGAATATCTTTGATTAGAGTCATAATGGGATGGTTTTGAGATATATAAAATATTTTTGTATGGAGAGAATAATGTGATGGTGTATGCATCCTTAGTCTTTTAATTTGACTTAGATAAATTATTTTAAAAAGAAAATGTTTTTCAATTGATGACATTTTCCAAGTTAAAATGGCTGAACTAATTGAGTTAATTGACAATCCTCCATTTTCTTGTCTTTCTTTTCTTTTTCTTTTTAAACAAAGATTATAAAAATCAAGTTTTATAGATCTTTTATTAAGAATGGACAGAATTGGGGTGCCTGGGAGGCTCAGTTGTTTACGTACCAGCCTTCAGCTCAGGTCAAGATCCCGGAGTCCCAGGATGGAGCAATGCATCTTCTGGCTCCTTGCACAGTGGGGAGTCTGCTTCTCCTTCTTCCTCTGCCCCTTGCTCCCTGCCTCCCATCCATGCTCTCTTTCTCTCAAATAAATGAATAAAATTTTAAAAAATTGACAGAATTGGTCTAGGCATCTATATGGTACAACTGTCTGTATTTTGGGACAAAACTCCAAGAATATGAGCTTTTAAAATATAATTTCCAGTTGTATATAAATAGGTAATACGTAAGTTATAATTAATACATGAATGTAACACTACTTTTCCTTTATTTTCAAGCATGGACTCTGACTTCAACATTACTTGTTCCGTGTTTCCAACCCTATTAATATCTATACTGTAAAGTACAAATCCAAAAATACCATATTAAATACTAAATTGATACAAATAGGCAAAAATTTCAGAGTGGGAGAACATGTCATCTAAGGGTAAAAGGTGTTTTTTTTCAATTTTTTTACACAAGAGATGTATTATTTATTGATTAAATTAATTGCCTCATCACCTCTGACTCACAGTGTTTATTCATGGTTTTAGTGAATATTCCCTGCATATCAGCTTCTTGAATAGTCACAGAACACCTGTGCAGAGCACAAGTACTTTATCACAATATTCATGTTGTGTTCCTTTAGGTTCACGCTACTCCCTGTGTGATTGTTCTTTTCATGAATTGACAAAGGAACTCATTTTCTCTATGAGGATGTAAGGCATTGCATACTGTTAATTGTAGTGTTAAAATTCCTAGTCAGGATCTTTTTTCTTGACAATTTTCATCACTTCCCATACCATTACCGAAATGTATACTAAAGGCTTTTCCTGCAATCTTCTATTTCACTTATAGTCCATACTCAGTTCTGCATAATTAATTTTTCATCTTTATCTCCTCTCAAACTTCACTGGCTAAGTTAGTCTTACATCCTAGATTCATTCAGCAAGTGTCCTGCTATTATTCCTACCACTATTGCTCCCAAAACTAAAACCCGCTTTCCAAACTGCTTCCAGAGTGGTATCTATAGAATGAGACCAAATATTGTTATTTCAGTAAATCCATAACCAACAAGATAAATTCCAAAATCCACTGATTCACATAAAAACATGTTAGGAGTCAGGTTTGCAATTTTAGCCTTAAATACCTATCATGTATACACTTACCTTCTTTGTTCTAATATATCAAGTTGGACTATAAGTAGATCTCTGCAAAATGCCCTCTGTTTCTCTCCTCTATAACACTGCAGCTTATGGAAATCACCATGGTCTACCATGACATTTATAGGGAAGTCTTTTGTGAACTTGGAAAAATCTCTATACAGCCCAGTTGGAGTGAAACATCATGTATATTTCTTTTTCATGGTAGTGACCAAACAATATTGCAATTATATCCTTACTTCTCTGGTGCATCTAAGAAATAGATATCTTTATGAGGAGACACATTATGTTGTAGTGTCTTTGTAGTGTCAGAGTCTAGCATGGCTTCCAGCATGTGGAGAATAAATGACCAAACAAAAGGGGCAACAGAAAACTAAATATCTCCGGCCACCTTCCAGCAATATGGGATTTTTTCTGAACTTGCAGTGATTCTGAGCAGTGTCATAATCTTGAGGTCCCATGGTTATTATGCCAGCACTATGTCATTCATTTCAGAGGAGTATTTATATATTAAATGCCAGTAAACTTTGCCCTTGAATTCTGTTATCATTCTACTTTCTATCCTTTAGCTTCTCAATTCCAAATCACAGGCCTATGGGTTGTATTTATGCCTCCTTTTTGAACTCTGATTTACATCATTGATGAAAATTGCAAAAGTCCTTTATTAAGCTTTACTGAAGTATTTTTGCATAATCTTGGTACTTTAAAATTTTGACCCTCTAATATATTGGATGAATTTTTTTCTCCTGAGCATCTATTCTTGCTAAACTCCCTGAAGTGAGTAGAAAATGTTAATCATGATCAAATGCCAGGAAACATAAGGCTTTTTCCCCTATTTTTTTTTAACTGTACATGAATAAAAACTTTCTAAAAAAGTGATAAAACCACTTCTTACCTAAGCTACTTTAAAGAAATAGTGTTTGTAGAAACTGGCTGGAAAGACATACATTTGCTATGCAACAGCATGATAAAATGGCTATTTTTTTTGAATTCTAAGGAAAACTAATACTAAAATTTATTTTTGTCACACAGGAAGTGCAACTACTGGGCACAAGGAAAATTACTTCAAAAAAAACACAAAGTGGTGAAACAAATACTGAGGAGCATGCCAATTCAGTTAGGAATTTAGCCTCCAGGATGCAGGAAAAATAATCACAGAAGGTTAACTTTAAGATGGCCTCCTGCTGTGCTTGATATTGGAGGTTTAATCCTTAGCAGTGCACAGCTTCCCATAGGAGGATTGGTCTTGTCCGCAGTATATTTTGTGGATTCATGTTTATTTGTTTGCACTAGGCATGAAAACTCAGGATGGTCATTTTTGTTATTAAAATTATGCAGGGGGCACCTGGGTGGCTCAGTGGGTTAAAGCCTCTGCCTTTGTCTCAGGTCATGATCCCAGGGTCCTGGGATCAAGCCCCACATCGGACTCTCTGCTCGGCAGGGAGCCGCTTCCCCTCCTCTGTCTCTGCCTGCCTCTCTGCCTACTTGTGATCTCTGTCAAATAAATAAATAACATCTTTAAAAAATAAAAATAAAATTATGCAGGATCTCATATTTAACATCAACTCCAAGTTTTCCTTCCAGCCCCAAGAAACACTGAGCAAAGCATAACAAAATTAGGCTTATTTAATATTTCAAAAAGTTCTGAATGGATGTGTGGCTTAAGAAAATGTATCTTTGATAAATGGCTGAATTATTGGATACGTACTTATTATGTTTCATGTTAAAATTTGAGGTTACTTTACTGGCTATTCACAGACCTGTACCCCTGGGGCTAATAATACATTATATGTTTATAAAAAAATTTTTAAAAAGTTAAAAAAATTTGAGGTTACTTTAAATGTTTTTGGTAAAAATTCTGAAATTGTGTTACTTTGATAAGGAATGGGAAAACAAGTTTCGTGATACAGTTGATTTTAGTGAAGACATGAACAAATGAATATGTTTCCTTTTATATGAGATTTCATTACTTGGTGTCTTCTATAAAAGTATTACATTTTAACAGAGCCTCAAATATTAATATTTTCTATAAAATATGCAACAATGAATGAAGGAAGCTGTGGCATTTATTGTACTATAATATTATAATTACTGTAAGTTGTCTCTAACTGTAACTTAAAATAATCATAATTTTATCCAACTTTAAATTATTAAACCTGATTCTCCTCTCTCTTCACCCTCCCACCCTTCCCCAGTCAATCATAGCTGTCCTGATGATCAGTTTAAATGCAAGAATAATCGCTGTATCCCCAAGAGATGGCTCTGTGATGGAGCTAATGATTGTGGAAGCAATGAAGACGAATCCAATCAAACTTGTGCAGGTAAAGGTTTGCTTGAATATATACTTAAATCCCTTCCAAAGTTAGTGTCCATAAAAATGCAGGTCACTGCTTTGAACTAAGCTGAACCTTCCTAAGGCTGATGATCTGATTATTGCAGTAGTAAATGAGTTCAGAGTTTGATGCCGCAAAAGCTAGAATACAAATTATCTTTTACTTAATCCATGGGCATGACTCTGCTTTCCAAAGTAATTTGGCACTTTATCTATCCATATGGGTTGACTGTCGATACACTGCTTGGACAAGACTTGCCCCTGCTAAATCTTAATTGGCAGCGGTGGGTGAGGTTTATTAGCATGCTGTGATGGAGGCCATCTCTCATGAAAAAAGGTTTGTGTGTGTGTTTTGTTTTGTTTTGTTTGCTTTTTACCTTGAAAAAAATAATCTGTGTATTTTATTTAGTCTGTTGTAGAATACCTCTGTGAATAATTTTCTGTTCCTGGCACACTATTTATCTGGCGTAGATTTTTTTTTCCTTTTTCATGAAGTCCCAAGATCATAAAGCCTATTAATATTTCCATAAAATTTATCCCATTGTAATACATCTGTGAATCCCTAGTCAGTTTCTCTTTGAATGGGGATACACAGCTTGTGGTACAGGTTATAATAGATGCTGGAAAGGTCATGATTAGTCAGATAAGTATTGAAAAATGATATTGACTAGCAGCAGCCTAGACCTATTCATTAAATGATGAAGAAAAAGTAGTATATTTGATGACTCTTACTGATATCATTGGTAAAAATCGTGGGGTTATTTTTGGTTGTTTTTTTTTTTTTTGGTAATCATTACATACAACAGTGTCAAAATTTATCAACACCTCCCCTTCTCTATTTGCCAAAATAAACCTCACTAAATAAAAATTATTATAACCTATTAGTGAAAACTGTAGGGACAGCATATACAGAAAAGACCCAGAAATTAAGAAGCCTGGTTTGTATTCTTGATTGTGTCACTGGTTTTCTCTTGGAAAGACTTGTCCCTCAATGCACTGTAATTTCTTTGTATATTTCTTTCTGCTCCGCAAGAGTATGAATTGACTAGAAAATATTTCCTAACTGCTTTATATCATGTACTAAGCAACAATGAAAGAACAAAACAGTCCGTATCCTAACCTGCATCTCATATTTAGTTTTTTTTTTTTTTTCATAGTGACATATTTGCTGAGGGTCTATAAGCTAGTTATTCTCTTGTCCCTTGACTAAATATAGTTTGATATTTTAGAGTAGCTGACTATTTTTAAGTTATTTTGTGCATCACGTAAGGTTGTTTTGCAAAGAGTTATCAAATAAAAAGGAACTTATAGAGACTCTTTGGTCCTAGTCTCTCCCTTCAAGTCCATTCATTTCATAGATGAGGCTCTGACTTGACTTAACTCACATCATTGGCAAGAACTGGGAAACTCAGTGTGTAAGTTATTCTCGAAGCCCATTGCTCTTCTTATCAAACTATATCATCCTGAGTTTTAGCTAGAATTTTAGGTATGGTCATTTTAACTTTGCCCAGATTGTTCTTACAATAATGTTTATAATTTACAATGAAGAGTCTTTCTAAGCTGGTGCAATTATTATTTTTTTTTAACTTAAGATTTAGTTCTGAGACTGTCCATTACTTCCTAAACAGATAGGTCTGTTTTCACCTTAAAATTAAAGGCACTGCTGACTCAATTCATAATAATATGTCTTTTTTTTTTTTCATTTATGTTACACTCTTAAAATCTGCTTGTTTCCACATGATTTTTAAGGGAACATTTGGGATGACTAGCTACTGATAGTAGTAAAAGTGGAAATGCTATGTGTAAGAGCAATAAAACAATCAATCCTAATCAGTCCTAATTAGTAAGATTTCTCAGCCAGTCCAGGCCTGTAGTCCACTAGGAAACAGTGTACAACCTGCTTGTACCTCAAGTGTCACTTTCAGTGATGGTTGATGAAGCATGCCAATCATTACTAGATCTTCTTGTCAGTATATTTATAATAGATACTATGGTCACAGTATGCCTTAAGAAATTAAGAAGAACAAAAATTAAGGATAAAAAGAATAAAAAGAAAACCACAAATACACCTTTTAGCTTTGAAAATTAAGTATGCTGTTGTGTTACCATACATTCCCATTTTGTTTGACCAAAATAAATAAAATACAATAAATTTATTGTATTTTCATCATGCTGAAAAAAAAATATGGCAAATACATTAGATAACTTCTCTGGCTGGGTCATTTCTATCTATGGGCATAGATACGGATATGCGTCACAGATAAAGGATTTCCCAACATGAGGGTTATTTTGTAACTAAATCCACTGTCCTGTAGCTTTTAGCATTGTGACTACTTTATAACTAAAAGAATTCTTTCCTACAAGATGCCAATTTCCAATTTTTTTCCTTTGGGTTTTCTCCTTCATGACATGAATCTACTAATTCAATAAAAACTTACCACAACATTGGATATAAAAAGAGGACAAATACATTATATCTTTCATTAGAAGGCTGAGTGGAAATGGGGAGAAAAAACATGTAAGCTGGTCATTCTAATGCAATATTCAAAGTGCTAACTTGAACTACAAATGGAAGCACAAGAACTACTAATTTAGTCTTTGTGTATCTGGCAAGGGAGGTGATAGCCGAACAAGCCAAAGAAAGAAATGAAGGAAGGAAGGAAGGAAAAGAAAAGAAAGAGAGAGAGAGGGAGGGAGGAAGGAAGGAGGGAAGGGACAAAGGAATGAACATGAATAACAGTTCAAATCATTCAATTAAATAATTGAATAATTATATTCAATTATAAAATATTCAAAATATTCAAATATAAAATAAATAATCTGATAAAATTAACCTTTGGCAAGATTGTGGAATAAAAGGCAACATACACTTTTGGTGATGTATAAATTATTTTTTCTACATTGGAAAGCATTTAGCTAAACCCAATAAAATGGAGATTGTGCATACCTTCAAGTCTGTATTTCCATTTCTAGATTTATACTCTAATATCTATGCTCAAAGAGATGCAAGTAAGAAATTCATTGCCCTAATGCTGGTAATAGTGAGAAATTAGAAATAATTCAAATGCCCATTAACAGGAATTATATATATATCTTTCACTATATAAAAAACTATATATATAAAACACCATATAAATATATATATATATATATGCTCACATATATGACACTATATAGCATTATAATCACATAGTAGAACATTATTTTACTTAAATTGAATAGACTAGAACTCAAATACCAACAGTAATTAATTTCAAAGACAATGTTAACTAAAAATTGCAGATTATAAATCACTTAGTGCCATTTATATGAAATATAAAAATACAAAACAATTTTACATGAACTTATTTATTTATAAATGTGTAAAAATAGGATTAAAATATGTCTGGAAATGGAAAAAAAAGATTATAAGCTAAGGATAGTAGTTACATCTAAAAAGATAGAAATATGACTGAAAAAAATTACATAGGTGATTTTAAATGTACCTATAATACATTTTTCTGAAGTAAAACAAAAATAGTCTGTAGTAAATATAGGAAAAGAGATATGATAGAGCTGTATGATGGTAGACCAGTGTTAATATTATTTTTCTATGCTTTTCTATGTGATAGAAATATTTTACTGGGGCGGGGGCGGGGAGAAAAGAATGATGGATTGGCATAGTTACTGAGGGTGAGGTGAAGTCCATGGCGTGGGTGGGGGTTGGAGGATATGCTTGGAAGACAAAACAGCACTAGGCAGAAGAAAGCTGACAGGGGCTTGGTAATTGTTCTCCCTTACAAAAAAAAAAAAATATGTTTCTCTACTTATGAGAAAGACCCAGAGGCCAAAGATGAGGAGTAGTTAGATGTGAAGTTATTTTTCCTCATAGTCGCTAATGATAATCCTTGGATTCAAAGCTGGGCAGTTTCAGACCAGATTTTTTCCACAGCACTGAGCTCTAATTAGATTACATGTTTATTCTTCTCACATCCTCCACGTAGTTTGACTAAATTCAAACTAGGCAGATATATTTGAATTAAGAAAACCTGATATATTAAAAATCGGACTTCCTTATAAGATAAATTGAAAAATATGTGTTGATATGACATAGGTTTTGTTTAAATAGAATGCTTTGATTAAAATATGGCAAAGGTGAAGTTTAGGAATAATGTGTGAAGATCTCTTCACTTCTTCCTCCTTATTGTTCCCATGCATTGTGGGATTTCTCACTGCTACATGACAGCAGGAGAAGCATAATTAGTGATGGGTAGAAAAAATTCATATTGTGACAGTGGATTTCTGATTCACTGCTAGATAAACAATTCCACTGAGGAAGTATAAATTTCCTCATTAGAGAAGCATTTGCTACAATATTTGAGTCTTCTGGGGCTGCTTTGCTAATCTCACCTCCAGACTAATTTAGATCTGACAGAGACAGGAACTGAAAAAGTAAATGCTGTGTCTTCTTGATATAAATCCAGTGATTAAAAAGAGATGATTTAGTCCATGTGATTATATCATATGGACAGACAGTACTTGTAGATTTATGGAATGAAGCATTCTTCCTATCTGGAATGACTTAAATTTCCTCACTAGACTAAGCAGATAGTTTTTCCATGATTAGAACAAGGATTCATGTATGTTGAGGTTGTATGATCCCTCAGCTAATAAGCCAGTAAATACTCTTTCGAGTAATGGGTCCTGACAGTTCTTCAAGCTTCTGAGTTAGTGAGGTGACACACAAATTCCCACACTACACGATGTGAAATAGGTTCTTAGGAATTCTTTCTCATTCTCTTCTCTCATCACCGTAGTGCCACTCATGAAGGAAAACAATCTCAGAAAACTTACTAGAACTAAATCTGAATGGCAAGGAGGAAATACTGTGACATTAAAAAAATCAGATAAAAGAATATTTTATTGGGATATTTAATATATTCTTATTATGGGTCAATTAGAATTTAATAGGAATGAAAATATGTGATGGCATATTTTTCTTTAAACAAGAAAACAAGAAAGACTAAAGGAGTGAAATAGGGAATGATGAAAGATAAGAGATATAGGAAAGAATAAGTGGAAAGAAGAAGGAAGAGAGAGGAAGAAAGAAAATAAGGAAGGAAGAAGGGAGGAAGGGAAGGAAAGGGTGAGGGAGAGCTGAAAGAAGGAAGGAGAAAAAATTGAAAAGAAAACTCTCTTATTAAATTTCTCTTAAACTTCAAAAGGTAAAAATTATTTACTGCCATCAGAGAAACAAAACAAAGACTTGCAAGAAAAAATCGATCTTATTCACATCTCTATGCCCTTTCCTTCCCACCGAGTAAACTAAATGCCAACACCTTCATCTTTCTCTAGGCTAATACAAATATATACATATTTTTCCAAGTAGTTTTATTAAAATTACCTGGGAACTTTGTTGATTTAATCTATAAAGAAATTTTTTAAAAAAATTTATTTATTTATTTGACAGACAGAGATCACAAGTAGGCAGAGAGGCAGGCAGAAAGAGAGAGGAGGAAGCAGGCTCCCTGCCGAGCAGAGAGCCCGACTCGGGGATCGATCCCAGGACTCTGGGATCATGACCTGAGCCAAAGGCAGAGGCTTTAACCCGCTGAGCCACCCAGGCGCCCCCTGTTGATTTAATCTAAACATTAGAATAATTTCACAGAAAATGCATAGTTAGCCAAATGAGACAACAAATATTTAATCCCACTTGAAATTACAACATTGAAATCTTCAAAAGTGTACATATTTGTGGGATACTTAAAATCTATTAATGCAAAATAAATGCTCTATTTGTAAAAAAAAAAAAAAAAAAAAGGAAAATCCAAATATTACATAAAATATTTTAGATTCAGAACCCTTAGCTACATAAGCAAATTAGAATACAAAGTGTAATGGTTTTCTGGAACTTCTAATTATAGACACTAGGTTAGAAATGGTACTTTGAATCGAATAAGCCGAATCAAACCAATAATGTTTTCATTGTTTTTCTCAAGTAAGCTTTTAAGTATCCACTAATAATAGATATCTTTTTACATAGCAAGTACACTTTGTTTAAAAGGAAATAATTAGCACATAACTTTGTAGAGATTATTTTAAATGATCTCTGAAACCCTGATTTACGGAAACCCATTTTAGTGTGTTTGGATGACTTGTCTTTCAACCACTCTCAATTTTATACCAACCATTAGGTCATGAGACATTTTGATGAAACAGAAATGCATCCTTCTAATTCTTAAACCCCAAAACAGAGGGAAGTGTATAAACTGAGCAATGTTCTCTTGTCATAACTACAGAAATCCAAACCCTAGTTTTTCTTCATCTGTCCAGTCCTCATCTAACTCAAATATTAACAGGTTTGAGTATCCCCTTCCTATAATTTCCCACTCTTTTTTTCTGACCAAATAAAAAAAGGGGTGGTAGGAAACTGATACTTAAGAAACAAATTTGTGTTTCAGACAGACAAAAGAAAAAAAAAATCAATATTTAAAAATAAGTAAGTAAAAAACAAAAACAAACAAATAAACAAAAAAACAACAACAGAACCTAAGTCAGCAAAACTAAAATCTGGGAAAAAGGTTAGTATAGCTGTCTAGGATTTCATGCTTTCAAAAGTTGACCTGACTGTAATAGAAAATGGTAATCAAAATCCTTGTAGAACATAACCAAACCCCTTCACTGAGTAATTGAAACTGCTGCCTTTGGCTAACATAGAAAGAATGATTCCACGTGTGTGTTCATTGAAACCCATGAAGAGGCCAAAGTGAAGTTTATTCATATACTTTGATTAAAAAGTTATACAGTTTTATTTAACTATGCTGAAAAGTGAATTTTAAAAATCTGTAATAAGGCTAAATGTATGTAAGTATGTATGTACTTACATATATGGTTATGTATATAAGTATGTATGTACTTACATATATAAGGCTAACTGTATGTATTTAAGTAATATTTTCTGCATTCTAAAATTTCTGAATTTTCTCCCTACATTGGATCACTTAGAGACCAAGAAATAAATGTACTGAAAGGTTAAAGGAAAAGAACAATTCTATCCCCGTGACTAGAAACTAGATACCCTGGTATAGTCTCCAAATCCTTCATCCCACATTACAGCAAGTTTTCTTGGTTTATTGACAAAGACTATGTGAAATTCTTTTTTGTTAATTAAAAGTTGGATGAAATTTAATTCAACCGTGTATTCATAAGCATGTGTCAGGCAAAAACTGTAAAATAATGAATTCATAACTTCATTTATGGAAGTGTGTGAGGATTACTGAATATCTTGTCATTTAGCAGCCACTGTAATTGAAGGGGAAAGCATGTGAACTTCAGAGAAGACAAGCAAGCTGGCAGTATCAATTAGCAAACATTTACTTTAAAATATTTTATCTAATAAAACAATAGAATATCTTATGTGTAAAAGAGTTATTGCATGATTTATTTCCCCTGAACATTGTTCAAAAGGTCTTTAAATGTATTATTTGTACATTAATTGATTATCTTAGCCAGAACATGCCAGGTGGACCAGTTTTCTTGTGGAAACGGCAGGTGCATTCCCAGAGCATGGCTATGTGACAGGGAAGACGACTGTGGCGACCAGACGGACGAAATGGCATCTTGCGGTAAGTTATGAGTGAACCATGCTGTTAATGAAGACTGTGTCAAATCACTATAATCTCTCTCAAGAGACAATTTATTTCTTTATAAACACTAGTCAGCAAGGCAGAAGATGTGTTACATTTTATCACTGCCTTTTAGGCCCGAGTGTGTACCTTAATGCTAACTTTAGAATATATCCGTTTAATGAGTCAACACCATATTCTAGGCTAAAATAAATAGATCCAAACATTACAAATTTTATTAGGAAGTGGTTATTATAAGCCTAACAGGACATTCTCAAATGTTTGTTATTTATCTTATGTTGGTAATGATTTTTTTTTTTTTTTTTTTCAAATAGAGTAGCTCATTGAATGACATTTGGAGTAAATTAGGAGTACATGTTTCTTGCTGGCATGCATATGTTATCTTCTTGGAACAACAAACGATACAGATTGAGATTACATAGTTGGTAAATCATTTGTTTCATTTCTCTTGAGTCATATAATTCTGTTGTTAGTTTAAGATAGTTTTGTTAATGGCAAAATTCTTAGTCACTTTCCACCAATCCTCCTACTTTTGGAAATGTCATTTATTGTTACTTAAAGTTTCAAATTTTAATTACTCACATTTGTGCCCATGTATCAGTAGATTTTATTATCAATCTCTGAGTAATGTGTAGTGAAACAGTAAGGGAATGAATCCTGTTTTCTAAGAACTTGGGCCTTTTTTAGGCATGGATATGGATTTTTAAAATCACTAATGGGGAAAACATGCACTAGATATGCTTATCACATTGATTAAATATATAATGCAATTGGGTATATAGTTTTTTTAATAATTTAACTCCATGTTCTAGCACTTCTAACAGTGAGAAAATAAGACTTTTTTTTTTAAACCTCTCAATTTAAAAAGCTCTATTTAGGGAATGCATTCATGATTTACCTAAAATTTCATTTTGAAAAATTACCTTATACCTGACCTATGTCCCTGTAGACTTTTGATTGTGTGACCTTTGAATAAAGTATAGATAAGTAAGTAGTACTAATTGACATTGTAAAGAAAACAAAACAATACCAGTATTGAAGAAGAAAGCAATAGACAGTCACACACAGTAAGAGTTAATTTTACATTTCACATGTAGATTTTCCAAAGCCTGTCCATTTGAGGGATTTGAACAATATATCCTTCTCCTTTCCAATGCCCAGACTATTCTTGTGGCTGGGTCTGCATTTAGCCAGCTCTGTTATTTAAGAAAGCTTGATTGCTTTCCTGTCCCCAGCATCTCCTTCCAGAATATAGCAAAAAGATAATGAATAACCTGAAAACATTAAAGACAATGAAACTCTGGAATCAGTCTAATTTAGAAGGGAAGGCTATGAAAGCATTATAGAATAGGAAAATAAATAATGAGCTCATTAGAGAACTTTGGTTAGATTTTTGATCCGACATATTTAGTACTTTTCATGAGATGAGGGAAAGAAGGGTTGGAGGGAGTTCAGACATATATTTTCTTCTTGAATATTTATAGCAAATCTATGAGAAACTTACTATTGTTCAGATTTTATGGATGAGAGAATCAAAACTTAGAGACATTTGACAACTTGCATGAGATCACAGGGCTAATAAATAGCAAGACAGGCTGTGAATCCAGGCATACCTGAAACTAAAACTCAGACATTTCAGGTCAACTTTGTCTGGGAGCCATGGATTGGGTGGAAATAGGGAGCAGATCAAGCCATTGTATCTATCCATATCATTGACTATCTTATTTTAAAACGTATACATATAATGAGTTTTGTTCATTGGTGGTTTGATAAATCTTTTAAGATCTCATGCTGGGGAGGAGTCCTGATCTAGTGTTTACCTATTTTTTTGTGGTGTCAATACTCCTGCCATGGCCTGTATCAAGTTGCCAATGTGACTTTCTGAATGCGGATTTGGGAAAATATGTGCACACCCACATATAGTATTTCCACAATACAGATGTAATAAACATAACTAACTCCAAGAGCAAAATAATCAGGAAATTATGAACCTTGAGCATTTATTACCTTGGCTTTCAACATTATTTAATTAGAAATGTATATAGTTTATTTATTTCAAATAATAGATGTATGCTTAACAACTGATTCCTAGAATCCTTGAAAATTTAAAAATCAATTCTTGCAGGCTGGTACAAGATGTCTCCAATATACCACTGGATATGAACACACTGTGAAATGTAGTTGTCAGTTTGCTTCTGAAATTAAGCCAAATTTTATAGAGTGTCAGTAAGCCGCATGGGTTAGTCTCAGCACCGCTTCCCTTTTATAAGGTGAGAAACATGTTTCTCTCCACACTTGTCCCTCTCTGTAGTAACATGCATTTATCTTTCAGATTGTCATTATAAATCAAAATTTATGTCAGTAGGGAAGCTGATAGTGAAGCTCTGGTAGGCACAATCTCACTTTTAAAGTTGTAGGAGAGGATGACATAGATTATTCTCATATCAGATACTATTTCGGCACTGAATTCAAAATGACAAAAACATTATAAATTGTTTAATTTACTGCATTAAAAAAGTCACCCTCCTTGGCAGTAATCTAGAAATGAATATAGGCTCAACTAATTCCCAGTTCTATTAAGCATCATTAAAACATTTGGAGTGATCATGTTTCACTTTTCCCTTTGGAATCGGTCAGGTTCCCATAGGTTTAATCTTACTAGAAGACTGCAGTCTTTTTTTTTTTTCCCTTACACTTTAGCTCCACAAACAGCTACTGTTTTGTTTAATAACTACCATTTTATACTGAGAATAATACCAAGATTTGGGTTTTAAAACATGAAAGCCTATGGTTAGAAATGCTTCTGATTATAGTTAGGAGCAGAAGGTGCTAAAACTGAGGGTCAAATTTTAGTGGAATTCACTAGCACCTATTTATAAACCAAGTTAATTGTATATTTCAGGTTGAGATTATATGTGGGCAAACATTACATAATTTGGAAGGCCTTTGAGCATTCTCCCTTCATATTTAAACAATCTTTTATCTTTTTTTGGTAGTCTTCATGTGTAGACAGGAGACTCTGTAAACTGATTCTGCAAATAAGAGCAGATATGTTAGAATCATAAAGACTGTGTTGGAAGTGGACTGTGTGTCAAGGAACTAAATGGTCACTCATTTAAAGGATGGTAGCATTGGTTCTCAACTTTAGCTCTCAGTTAAAAAAATCACCCGAGAAGCTTCAGAATCATTTGCCATGCCTCACCCCAGACTAATTAAATAAGGGTTCTTAGAGGTCAGACCCAAGAATCAGTAATTTTAATGCTGCCCAAGTGGTATGAATGTGCACTCAAGTCTGAGAACACTTAACTTAAGGCCAAGGTTCTCAAACCTGAGCATTGCATTAGAATCTCCTAGAGGGCTTGTTAAAAAAGCAAAAGAAAAAACAAAAACAAAAAGCAGAATTCTGGGCTTGATTTCCAGAGACTATGATCCAGTGGATCTTAGATGATTGAAAATTTATATTTCTAGCAATTGATGCTGATGGTCAAGAGAACATAATTTGGAGAGCACCATTCAGGTTTGATTTTTATCTTACATATATACTTAATTACATAATTTTGTTTATATATGCAAAATGAGTTAAGATGGAAGCGATTATCCAAACAAACTTTCTTCCCATCTCCAAATTATAGCATTAAACATAAGTGTATTTCATGATTAAATGTAAGATTATTTCGGGCAAACTTATATTTTCCCCTTGGAAAATTTATTGTCAAAAACAAAATTTATTTGTTTATTTTAAACTGTAGTTTAACTATTTTGAGATTGTTGTGTCTTCCAAGTATCTCAACATATCTTATATTTATTACTATTTTTTAAATAAATAATCTTGATGGGAGTTGATAACTTCTGATTTGTTCAAAGGGTTTAACTTGGGAAAATATCTAAAATTTATTAGGAGATTGAAAGTCAGTTCAATGGGATATAAATAAACATCCATTAAAACTTATAAGTTAATATGATTCCAATTTATATGTTGATCTTTTAAATCTATGAAGATAGTAAAATTTTGTCTCTTGTACTTGTAATCTTACCTGTAAATGTTCTTGTAATTTTATTGCACATAATTAAGGAACAAAGAATCAGAAAGAGAACTGGCAAATATCAGACAAAGGCAGATAAGAGAGAGAACTGTCAAAAAAGAAGTCATTTCCCAGTTAAATCAGTGTATGTTGTATATTAAAGATATTTTCAACTAGGGTATTAGAAAAAGAAAGGTTCTGATGATGTACATTATTATATTATATATTTATATTACACATTTTTTTTTAATTTTGTAAGAAAAAATGCATATGTGTGTAACAACTTAAGTGAGGATTATTAACCCAGTGGAGTACTGGCAAAATATGAATATTGTCAAGCACTGCTTTCAGTTGCTCTGCCATTTCTTAATAACATCTTGGCAGACACAATGATTCTGGCAACTTTTAGTTTTGGTAATTTGATCCAACCCATTTGAAATTCCAGTATTTTATCTAAGTCAGAGCTTTCTTCTCTCCCACTGCTGGCTAAACTTTGGGTTCTAAGAACTTAAGATGAGAGGCAACCGTGTTCTGTTTTTTTCCTCCCTACATCTGTTCCCTCTTCTGGCCTTAGCTCTTCAGTCAGATGGGACAGTTGGAGAAATAGGAGCATCTTTTAAAGTAGGTCTAGTGGTAATCTTCTCTGCTTCTCTGAAGGTCACTGCCCTCTGATGCATGAGTGATGCAGCTCTCTTGAGAGACTCATATGTGAGATCTTCAGGGAGGCTTCTCTTCATAGTTCCTTGAACTCCCTTTCTTCTCTGTGTCCTCTTCTTCTCCTCCACATCTAGATTTCTTTTATCCCCACCCCTACCATTCCCACTACAGATGGCATATCTCATAGACTTAAGTTGCTAAAGCCTCCTTTTTTTGGAGGGTACCCTGTTGGTTGCATTGCTAACATAACAAAAAAAAAAAAAGAAAAAAAAAAGTTTTGCTTTCTTTTGCAGGTCCACT